ACCTAATTCTGTCCTACACATTTTAGCTCTTTCCCTCTACTCAAAGGAGAGATTCTAAATTCACACCTTTCCATGTTTTTTCTTCTTTATTAGCAAAAACAAAGATAAATTATAGAATCTCCAGCCATTCTTGTGCATGCAATTTCTCCCTAAAGTGTTCTCATTCTACCAAAAAAGAAAGGAGTTTCCGTTACCCAAGTTTTCACGTAACTCACTGACATTAAGCTTCCACACAACACTTTACTCCTAGATGTTTAAACCTGCCCAATCCACATACATATATTCTCCTAAAATTCTGAAACTTATTTGAAGATAATAATTTTAAATTAACTTTTTAGTTTAAAAATAATACATTTCCATTATGAAAAATGCCCAAATTTAAAAGATGAGGGAAAAAACTCATTTATATTTCTGCCACAAAGAAATCACTGGCTGAGGTGTTAGAACAACTGCATGGAGAAGGAGAATTAGAGTCTTGAAGAAGGGCACACTTTCCCTAAGAGGACATTTGAGGGAGAAGAGATGACATGAGAAAGGTTTGATGAAGGGCCACACATGAGACGTTATGGTGGATGTCAGATACACCAGTTACAGAAAGGATAATCAAGAAGAGTTGATTGGGAAAAAACTGTGGAGATCTTTGTGGTATTTCAGGAAGAAAATTTAATTGTAAGATCTAATTTTGAAGAACATCTCCTCCAAGCGGAACGGTTACTCCAAAGAGCCACTCACTAATCTAACTATGCCACTGAAAATCTGAACACATAGATGCAATATATTTTTATACCATTCCTTAAAAATTGATTCCTTCTTACTCAGGTAATTTGTGCCACTGTACTGGCTATCGACCAATTGTAGAAAGTGGAAAAACTTTCTGTGTGGTAAGTTAAAAAAAAAAAAAATTCATTCTGTTGATTTAATATATTAATAGACTTTTGCAGAAAACAATCTACTGCATTCAGTAATCTCTGAAATAACCCCATGTTGAGCTTTCTAACTACTGAAAGTTGTTAAGTGCCCACTGTTTTGTATTTATTCAACGAACTCTTTGCATCTATCTTGTTTATAGTCCTAAATTATGCACTTTCCTAAGAAATAAACTATATGGTCCATGACTTCAAGAAATGCATCTATTGAGAAAAATTAAACATAGACTATGAAATAATAAAAAGCATAATTGAAAAGCAAGATTAAAAGCTTGAGATATCCTATAAACCATGCATACAAGTTTTGAAGGATCATATATTAAAGAGAATTAATAGCAGGAAAGGAAGAAACAGAGACTTATTGGAGAAGCTGAGTTTTGAGCCGAGTCTTAAAGGAAGCAATGGAAATTGACAGGTGAAGAGAGGCCAGTAGAAAATTCCAAGTAAGAATATGCATAGAATTAGGAAAAAGAAAGATGTCCAAGGTTCAGAAAAGAAATTAATGTGGCTGGAGCAACAGGGAGTAAAAAGATATTGTTTCCAGCCAAGAAATTTAGACATAAAGATGAAAACCAACGTGTAGTCATTGTCTATTCTCAAGCTAGTACTAACACAATGAGAACAATATTTCAGAAGGAAAATTCTTGCTTGTAGAAGGATAATCTTGGGGACAGACAGTGGAGGCTGAGGGCATGGACTAGTGCAATATCCCATGCATTAGAGAATGAGAATCTAAACCACTGTGGCAGATGTGAAGACAGAAAGATAACTCTCAGGAAGGGAATTGCTGAAATCATGACAACCAGGCAGTGAAGGGTTCAGTAAATAAGGAATTAAAATCACCTTCAAAGTTGAGAAATGAAGGAACCAGATAAGGATGAAGTTTATTCATGTTTGTGTATCGAAAGTTGTTTTTTTTTTTAATTGTGCTTTAGGTGAAAGTTTACAGCTCAAGTTAATCTTTTCATTCAAAAATTTATACACATATTGTTTTGTGACATTGGTTGCAATCCCCACAATATGACAGCATGCTCCCCCTTTCCATCCCAGATTCCCTTCAACCGTTCATCCAGTTCCTGTCCCTTCCTGTCTTCTCGTCCTGCTTTTGGACAAGAGCTGTCCATTTGGTCTTGTATATTTGATTGAACTAAGAAGTATGTTCCTCAAGTGTGTTATTTTTTGTTTTACAGGTCTGTCTAATCTTTGTCTGAAAAGTGGGCTTCAAGAATGGTTTTAGTTCTTGGTTAGCAAAGGGTCCAGGGGCTGTAGTTACGGGGGTTTCTTCAGTCTCCGTCAGACCGGTAAGTCTGGTCTTTTTACGTGGATTTGAATTCTATTCTACATTTTTCTCCTGTTCTGTCCAGGAATCTCTGTTGTGATCCCTGTCAGGGTGGTCATTGATGGTAGCCAGTCACCAACTAGTTCTTCTGGTCTCAGGCTGGTGGAGTCTCTGGTTCATGTGATCCTTTAGTCCTTTGGGTTAATATTTTCCTTGTGTCTTTGGTTTTCTTCATTCTCCTTTGCTCCTGGTGGGATGGGACCAATAGGTGTATCTTAGATGGCCACTGGCAAGCTTTTAAGATCCCAGGGTAGCCAAAGTTTTAAAGGCAGTTTATCTTCCCAGGACTTCATTAAAGACACATGTGTCATCCTTAAAAATAAAGAACACAGACTCAGATGGCAAAACAGATACAGAGATTCCAAAACTAATTCAGATAAACTCATGACCATAGAAAGTCATAAAAAAGATTAGCGAGTAGCATCTGGGGTCTTAAAAGCCTGTGAGCAGCCATCTGAGATACTCCACTGGTCTCATCCCTTCGGGAGCATGAAGAGAACAGGATACAAGGAAAAGATTAGTCCAAAGGACTAATTGTCCACAGCTACCAAGGCCTCCACCAGACTGAGTTCACTACAGCTAGATGGTGCCCAGCTACCACCACTGACTGCTCTGACCAGGATCACAACAGAGGGTTCTGGACAGAGCTGGAGAAGGATGTAGAACGAAATTCTAACACACAAAAAAAAAGACCAGATTTACTGGCCTGACAGACTGGAGAAACCCCGAGAATATGGCCCCCAGACACGCTTTTAGCTCACTGGTGAAGCCACTTCCAAGGTTCACCGTTCAGCTGGGGAATGGACAGCCCCATAAAACCAAATGGGACTAATAAGGCACAGCAGTCCAGGGACAAGGGCCAGAAGGCAGAAGGGGACAGGAAAGCTGGTGATAGGGAACCCAAGGTTGAGTAAGGATAGTGTTGATGTGTTGTGAGGTTGTTAACCATTGTCATAGGACAACATGTGTACTAACTGTTAAATGAGAAACTATTTTGTTCTGTAAGCCTTCATCTAAAGTGAGAATAGCAGCACAATTGGAAGAGCGTAGTCGATGTCACTGAACTGTGCATGTAGAAGTTTTTGAAATGGTATATCTTTGGCTATGTATATTTTCACCAAAAAAAAAAAAGATTGAGAAGGGAGAGGGCTGACATGTTGTGGGGTTGTTAACCAATGTCATAAAACAGTATGTGTACTACTGTTTCATGAGAAACTATTTGTTCTGTAAGCCTTTTTATTGAAGTACAATAAAAAAATAAATAAAAATAAAGAACACCAGTTGCATAATCTGTTTGAGTGTAGGTTTTTTAACTACTGCATTGTAACTGTGGAGCCCTGGTGGCACTAGTGGTTAAGAGTTTGGCTAACCGTAAGGTCAGCAGTTTGAATCCACCAGCTGCTCCTTGGAAACCGTATGGGGCAGTTCTACTCTGTCCTATAGGATCGCTATGAGTTGGACTTGATGGCGATAGGTTTTTTGGGTTTTATAACTATACTTTATTTCCTTCATTTAGTAGAAAGTTATGAGTCGGAATCAACTCGATGGCAACAGATTTTATAGGAAGTCTGAAGGAACCCTGGTGGCGCAGTGGTTAAGCGCTCGGCTGCTAACTGAGAGGTCGGTGGTTCAAACCCACCAGACGCTCCGCAGGAAGAAGATGTGGCAGTCTACTTCTGTAAAGATTACGGCCTTGAAAACTGTATGGGGCAGTTCTACTCTGTCCTATAGGGTCGCTATGAGTTGGAATCCACTCAACGGCAAAGAGTTTTGGTAGGAAGCCTGGGCTGACTGACCACACCCTCCTCTAACACCACTGTCTTCCTCTAAGACTTGAGTGACACCGTTTACAAGATGCTATCAGAAGCATGGCTGCATACTCCCTGTAACTTTCTCTAATTGTTCAGTGATGGAATAACTGGTTCCCCAGTGGCCAGATTACGGAGTCCTTGGCAGCAAGCACCCTATCTACTACTTCTTCCACAGCTCCTGTGGAGCCTGGGGCACTGCTGGGTACTCAGTAAGTGTTTAAAGAATCAATTAATTAATTTGTTTTAAACTGCTTTTCTTCCTAAGGAATCAACTGTTTGTCAAGTGAAAGGATCAGGAAAATGCTGCATAGATCAAGAAGAGAGGCCTTATGTGAATAAACAGGAAAAAGTAAATATCTGGTTTCCCATTTCAGTTGGGATTGACTGAAAAATACGCATATAAATCCAAATTTATTCCATTTTCTATTCTTTTCAGTGAATAAAGTGCCAAAGAACTGAATTCAGGACATGAACAGCCTTAAAGGGTTCCAAAAGTTAGTGAGCCTATAACTTTCATGAGGTTGGTCAACACAGAAGACTATTATCTTTCTGGAAATATTACAACTTCCCATGCCTAATCTGGACCTATCCACCACCCCTCCTCCAACAAGCAGGAAGAGGGACATAAACAGTGATGCACTTTCATGCTCATGGTGAATAAACATACACAATTAATACCTGAGTCTGAACAAAGGTTAAAACCCAACTTCCGACACCAAACAAGAAGTCCACAGTCCAGTAAATCTGCCAGGAGAACCGTCCCATGGTCCTCTGAGGATAGAAAGCACTCCATTAGAAGTGCCTCCATTTAGTTTCAGGGGTGTCAGAGTGTAAGCCCTGACTCTGAAGTCTCTCACTTACAGATTCCTGTCCAGCTCTCAGTAACTGTGATGGTCCATTTTTATTTTGTTTTGTTTTGTTCAGATATGCACAAAACTGTGTAATGAAGAAGAATTCCAGCCCTTCGACCCATCCCAGGAGCCTATATTCCCTCCTGAGCTGATAGTAAGATACTTTCCTTTTGACATCTGTTCACCATTTACACATAACTTGATGTGATATTTTTGTATTATACTGTGTAATTTTACTATGCAATTACGGAGTTCTTTACATTATAAGTTGGAAGGATGTCCTACACAATAATGAGTCAACAATCCACTTTTAGGAACTTGTTCAGCTTCACTATAAATAATCTAAAGCAGACAGCTCAGAAGAGTGGCGTCGCCAGAACCTCAGAGTCTCTTTGGTCCCACTCCCTCAGTTAAAGAACCTGAGGGTCAGAGTATAGGTGACTCGCCCAAGGTCACACAGCTACACTGTGAGGTAAGTATTTTGTAAAACTAGTAAAGCAAACACCAAATTAAGTTATTATAATGGAATTACATTATTCTTCCAATTAACTTCTGTGATTTCAACTCAGGGAAGAGGATAATTTAAATAGTGTAATGTCTGCCATTTTGTTCCATAACCACATGTACTAGAGAGAGCATGAGATGAGAGACACGATTCTACTGGCTCCTCAGAAGGTCTCAGTTTTTATTTATGCAAAGATAGAAGTATAATACACATGTATGTAACAGGTTTGTTTCTTAAGTCCATTTACACTGTATCTAGTGAATGATTTAAGAGACTTTTTTTCAAAGATAATTTTGCCTATAAGAAATTTTTATCCACAAAAAAAAATCTAATCCCCAAAGATGAGGATTCTCTGGGTTATTGTTAGGGCAGAACTAAAACAAGAAGCTGGACACTTTAATTTCCAGACTAAGACACTTTCACTATACCCTGCTGCCTCCTCTTCACATACTCACTTTCAACATATAGATAGCATTTATTCTACTCTATTTCCCATTGTTGATGGACAGAAAGCTATTATGATGTTTATTCAATGGTGCCCACATGAGTCATAACAATCTGGGTGATTTCAGACAGGCAACCCTTTTCTGACCTTTAAAACTTGGGTAACCTTGAAAAGTTCAATGAACTATTTGACCAGCAGGGCACTTGGATGCCCAGAGCTTGTTCAAAAGCTTTTCAAAAGCCTTGAAAGCCCTTTGGCTGTTTTTCTCTGCAGAGAATGGCAGAAGATCCCAACAAGAGAAGGCTGACATTCCAAGGGGAGAGAACCACCTGGATCATGCCTGTGACCCTGGACAACGTTCTGGAGCTGAAAGCCAGTTTCCCCAAAGCCCCCCTGATCATGGGGAATACTGCAGTGGGTGGGTGGTTTCTACGCATGTTCCTTAGTGAAGATTAGGTAACTTAAACATCTGTGCCTTTCTTTAAACTCTTCATAAATGTAATTCATCTTTATTAATGGGTATCTGTGGTCCTTTGGAGCCCTGGTGGTGCAGTGGTTAACAGCCTGGCTGCTAACCAAAAGGTCAGCAGTTCAAATCCACCAGCCAATCCTTGGGAACCTTATGGGGCAGTTCTACTCTGTCCTATAGGGTTGCTATGAGTCAGAATCGACTCAAAGGCAACGAGCTTGATTTTTGGTTATGGTCCTTTAGAATAGTTTGTTGTTTTCTTTTGCTAATGAGTCACTTAAGTCACAATTTTTACTCTGGATAATCAGTAAGCAATATCTATTAGCACCCATTGTCTTTCTTTTCTATCTGCCTTAAATCCTTTTCCCCTTAAGGACCCAGCATAAAATTCAAAGATGCATTCTATCCAGTTTTCATATCCCCACTTGAGCTTCCAGAACTACATTTTGTGGACACCGCAGACAATGGTAAGCACCTTCTTTTTCAAATAAGAAGTTACTACTGGCTGGTGGTGGAATGCTGGTAATCAAATACATGCACTGGGCTAATTTGAGCACTAAGTAGAATATCTGACTTTATTTTTTCAAAAAATATTTATTGATCACCTACTTTTTGTCTTCTATGAGTTTTTTTCAAACTGACTCACAATTCATATCACTGAGTACTACTTTAGGAGCCATAATATCAGGTAGCTCTGCCAGTGTAGAGTGATTGGTTGAATAAGAAAACTGGACAGATTTACTGGACAGTAGGAAAGGTTCTTGGCAGATGTTTCTCCATGATTCACAAATTTGCTCCAGGACCATTGCACACACACACACACACACATACACATACATTCACACACACACACACACACACACAAATCTAGACCCAAGATTTGAAAATTTAGTTATAATCTTACTTATTTTTACACACTTTTCACAATTTACCAAGTTCTTTCATATCTCTTGTCTCTTGATCCTATGACAACTTTGAGAAATAGACATGGCAAGTAGCCTTGTTATCTCCATTATACTGAAGAAGATACAGAATCAAAGAGCTTAATTAATTTCCCCATCACACAACTAATGTATTGCCAAATCAGGACCAGATCCTAGATCTTCTCACTCCTTGTCAAGTACCCCTTTCACATAATGCACTTAATAAGACTACCTGAAAAACATTTCCACCATCCACTATCCAAACTAGGCACTTGAATGGCTAAGAGTCTATAGGAACTGAAAACATAAAATAGGGTTCTTCCCAATGAGTCAACAGAACTCACACAGAAAATTGTCTACTTTCCCCTCTGGTTTGCCATTCTTAAGTCAGTCAACCCATTCATTTTTTATCTGCTAGAAAGTTCATATCAATGGGCACTCAGAAAGAGATGAAGCAAGGGGAGGCTAACAAGGTACAGGAGAGTATTGGGAGTAAGGTTGGGAGGTACCCAGTTGGGGTGGGATGAGGACTCCTATATTACAACTGAGACAAGGAACGACTATATCTACGTTGTTGTTGGGTGCCGTCAAGTCGATTCCGACTCATAATGACCCTATATGACGCAGTAGAACTGCCTCATATGATTTTCTAGGCTGTAACCCTTATGAAAGGAGATCACCAGGTCTTTTCTCCCACAGAAGCACTGGTGGATTTGAACCATCGACCTTTCGGTTAGCAGACCAGCACTTAACCACCATGCCACCAGGGCTCCTATATCTATATCTACATCTATAGCTACAGTTACAGTTAAGAACTATAGCTACAGCTACATGTACAACTATATCTGTCTATCTCTATATTTATCTGTCTCTATATCTATCTCTCCATTCTAATTATGATGATGAGGATTGGGGAGACGGAGCCTATAGAACTAGGCCAGTGTGTGTCAGCCTTTTCTTTATTACTGCCCCTCTAAGGAGCCTTTTTGGAGTCCTTGTATTGCAGTGATTAAGAGCTTGGCTGCTAATGCTGCAGGTCAAATCCATTTAGGCTTAATAACCTTTAAAAAGTCTCATAGGACCTTGGCTAGAATTTTTATATTTGATCACTTTATTCAGGAAAACATTAAGTTGGGAATAAATGAAGTAATGAATTTCAAATACTCATACAGTCACATATGCTATAAACTTTATAGCATATATGACTGTATACATGACTCGGAAGAAGGATTTGGTACTTAATATTTGAGAATAACACAAATTGCCAGAATTATCTTTGGTTCTTGTCACTCTAATTTGAAAAAGGAAGATATATTTAAAAGATTATTTCCATGCAATCCTATCTTGTTACAGTTCCCATTAAGCTTATGTTCTAATTTCTCATTTTCAGGGGTGACTATAGGTGCAGGATACAGCCTGGCCCAGTTGAATGATGCCTTACTCTTTACTGTTTCGGAGCAACCAAAGGAGAAGACTAAGACCTATCATGCCCTCCTGAAGCATCTGAGGACATTTGCAGGAGCCCAGATTAGGAATATGGTGGTATGTTCTCTATTGCTATATAAAAGAAGTCACAGTTATAGTCAGTCATGCAGCTCTGTTCAGTTTTATCAAAAGTTACTCTAAAGAGGAATTCCAAGCCAATGTTGAATAACTCCCTACAATATGAAGGTGTGTGTATATGTGTTTAAAGTGAGAGGTATCACATTGTGTGTATGTGTGTGTCCAAAATGAGAGGTGGCACATCATATATATGACACAGTGGCTACAACAATAGGCTCCAACATAGCAATGATGGTGAGGACGGCAGAGGACCGGGCAGTGTTTTGTTCTGTCATACATAGGGTTGCTATGAATCGGAATCGATCTGACAGCACCTAACAACAACATACATACATGCATACTGGAGTCCAAAGATTTTCAAATTCTAATCCCAGCCTATCACCAGTAAGTGGCATGACCCTGGAGAAGCCATTTGACCTTTTTATTTTAAAAATTAAGGTTGAACCAAATGGACTTTCTCACAGGTACTATCTAACTCTATGAAATGTCTTATCCAAGGTATAGTAAATAGCTTACAATTCTTTTTATGGCTAGTTCTCCTGCTAGGCCTTTGCACAGAGGTCAGTTTCTAAACATTAGTATCCCATATGTCCAGTCTTAGACATCTCCCAGTTATCTAGCTTATTAGAGTTTCTTTATTATTTAAGATTTAAGAATAATTGATTCAAACCACTCCCTACTCCATACATGATGGGTCATTCAGTGGGATTTGATGGGGTGTGGGGGTGTAGGATATACATCCCTTCTGATTGTCTCTGGTCCTTTTCTGCTGATTCTTGAAATCCACCATGTGTTTTCACCTTCTGCATCTTCCTCTGTTTCTTTAATGAAAGGATTCTATTGCACAGCAGCACAGCAGACAACTTAAATGTAAATACTATATATTCTCGTTCTTTAGAGTTAACTCAGACTCCAACCTCCCCACCTCACTCCCATGTTATTGGACCCTCTTTTGCCCTTTATCCCTAACCTGCTGGCCCCAGACCCAAATTCCCGTTCATTTCCCTTTTTGTTTATCTTCACAAGTAAACATTCATACCAAGGAAAACTCCAAAACAAAGACAAACCCATGCCAAGGTCGAGTCTCAAAGAAATTTTCCTCCTTGCTGCATGTGGAAAATGAATATTTTCTCAGGCATTAAGTTTGGACTGGGAGCAGGGTGGTAATCTTGCACAATATGTTGTCTGGATCTATTTAAATTCCCCAGAACTCTGCCAAATCTTCCTATGAGGCAAAGAAGAGAATTAAAAACTTACCAAGCTCCCTATATAATTCGTAATTCATTACTTGTCAAATAACTAAGTGTGGCTAAAAAAATATGTCATCTTTTTTGATTTAGACTTTAGGAGGACATGTGGTGAGCAGGCCTAATTTTTCTGACCTAAATCCCATTTTAGCAGCAGGAAATGCTGCCATCAACCTGAGGTCCAAAGGCAAGAGATCAAGTTTAAGGCATCGTATTTTATAATTAATAGCCACAGCAATGCACTGAAACACAGCAACAATCGTGAATATGGTGTCGAACTGGGCAACGCTGATTCTGTTATACATAAGGTCACCATGAGTCAGAACTGACTGGACAGCAACTAACCACCAGGGCCAGGTTACCCAATAAACAAAGTACACACAGGCCCAATTGTGTCTTCCCACCATGCTGCAGTGCACAATTTCACCTGTTCCCCACCAAGTCAAAGATGTGGTGAAGCCCAGCTGAAATTGCTCACCACAGATTAGCAAGTAAATATATTTTAGCCCATGTGTACCTTGCTCAATGCAAGCCAGAGCATATCATGCTTACTGGTTACTCTGCCCCTGACAACACAACAACATTTTATAATTATCTCTGTCAATTATGTATCTCCATGAACCATGAACCAGGTACCCAAGTATACCTAATTTACATTCAGCAAATAAGTATAGACTGTATTTCTATTACCTCGAACATAAGGATGAAACTGGGATCAATTATCCTGCTATCCAGATGCTCTGTATCCTATAGACCAGGTAATCTACTGTACCTAACAATTTTTATTAAATATTTGGCCAACATTTTTAAATGTTTATGCACAGCTCAAGTTGTGGTACCAAAGCAGTTAAAAAATTAATGACAGGTGTCTCTATGATTTTAAAGTTTTGTGGCGTATTTCATTTCAGAGTTTCATAAAGATGGCAATTTCTTTTTTTTTTTTTTTTTGCTATTTGGTCTCATATAGTCGATTGTTTAAGGGAGCACATTCCTTAGAGGTGGTCTTGTTTGTTTTATAAGCCAATCTATTATCTGGCTGAAAGGTGACCTCCAGGAGTGGCTTCAGTTCCAAGTTAAAAGGGTATCTTAGGGCTATAGTTTCAGGGGTTCCTCTAGTCTCTATCAGTCCATTAAGTCTGGTCTTTTTTAGAAATTTGTGTTTTGTTCTACATGTTTCTCCCATTCTATCCAGGACCTTCTATTGTGTCCCTGGTCAGAATGGTCTGTAGTGGTAGACCTTTTGGTCTCATGTTAGAAGAGGCCGTGGTTCATGTAGTTTCTTCTTTGAGTCTTTGGTTTCCTTCATTGTCTTTTGCTCCAGACAGGACGAGGCCAATAGTTGTATCTTAGACAGCCACTCACAAGCTCTCAAAACCCTAGATGCTACTCACCGAACTAGGATGTAGAACAATAAGATGGCAATTTTTCTTATAGTTCTTTTAGTTTTAAATAAAATCAAGTTTGTGGGGACATATGACTCATTATTATTCTCTTTATTCAAAGGCACCTTGAGCTTTTCAGAGAGAAAATAAGTTAAACTTAGGGAAGTCAAAACAAATGTATGTTAATCATAGGGCTATTGATGTGGGGTGTCTTTCCTTTGATTATAATTTCATTTTTTTTTAAATGTTGTGGATGAAATAAGGGAGCATGGTAAACTATTTAAAAGATAAAACTATATACCACGAATCCCACCTCTGCCACTAGATCCACCTCTAAGACTTTGGACAAATCACTTAGCCTCTCTGGCTCTCTGGACCTCTGTTTTCCCATTTGTGAAATGCATACGTTGTGCTAGGTTGTTTCCAAATAGCTTTAAAAATCTTCAGGGTTAAAATTTGTGAGTGGCATGTAATGGACTGTACAAGACAGAAAAGACATCCCAGATTATCTAGTCCAACCCTGTCATTTTGCAGATGAGGAACCAGAAGCCCAAAAGGTTCCATGACTTGCCTAAGATGACCCAGCTTGGGGGCTGGAACTAGCACCCATGTCTTCCAGCTCCCAGCCTGTGCTCTCTGTTAGATACATCACTTCTGTCACTTGCGGCACACTCTCTAATGTGATCCAAACCTAACTAAACCAGCTGCTATTGAGTCGATTCAGACTAACGGCAACCCCATGTGTGCCAGAGTAGAACTGTGTTCCACAGGGCTTTCAATGTCTGTGATCTTTTGGAAGTAGATCACCAGGTCTTTCTTCCAAGGCACCTCTGGGTGGATTCAAACCGCCAACCTTTCAGTTGTAGCTGAGTTCTTAACCATTTGTGCCACCCAGGGACTTCTCTAATGTGATAAGTTCTTCCTAACCAAGGTCATTTTCTCTAACAGAAGGAGAACGGCAGATTCCTTTAAACGGCCATTTCCTGGAAAGATCACCTGAAGCTGACCTTAAATCAGAAGAGATTGTGTTACCTGTTTATATTCCCTACTCTACTCAGGTAAGGACTTCCTAGCTCCCTGCCCACTGAGTGAAGCCTAGCTCTGGAGTGAGCCCGCAGGTGGGCTTCAGGAGGGAAAGGTGCTCTTTCCATTTGAACTAACTACTTCAGGGAGAATTTTCCAGCTGCTCACAGGGAGGGACAAATTCCCAATTGTCATTCAATTTGCTTCCCCATCAGGGCCACATTATGGCTTTCATGGGCCCAAGGCACTTCTGCCTTCGTAGGTCCCCTCCACCATTAAAACATATATATATATTCAAAATTATGTATTTTTTTATTGTTGTAGTTTAGATGAAGTTTACATTTCAAGTTAGTCTCCCATACAAAAATTTATACATACATTGTCATGCAACTCTAATTGCTCTCCCCATATTGCGACAGCACACTCCTCCTTTCCGCTCTGATTCCCCGTGTCCATTCAACCAGCTCCTAACCCTCTCTGCCTTCCCATCTCACCTCCAGTCAGAGGTCTCTTGTATCTATCTACTTGAGCTGAGTAGATAGATTGGTCTTTTAGTCTCTTGTATCTATCTACTTGAGCTAAGAGGCACACTCCTCATGAGTATCACTTTATGTCCCACAGTCCAGTCCAATCCCTGTCTGAAGAGTTGGCCTTGGAAATTGTTTTAATTCTGGGCTGATAGAGAATACGGGGACCTTGCTTTCTGGGGTTCCTCCAGTCTCAGTCAGAACATTAAGTCTGGTCTTCTTACTAGAGTTTGAGTTCTGCACCCCATCTTTCTCCTGCTCCATCCAGGACTCTCTGTTGTGATCCCTGTCAGGGCGGTCATTGGTGGTAGCCGGGTACCATCTAGTTCTTCTGGTCCAAGGCTGATGAAGTCTCTGGTTTATGTGGCCCTTTCTGTCTCTTGGGCTAATACTTTCTTTGTGTCTTTGATGTTCTTCATTCTGCTTTACTCCAGGTGGTTGGAACCACTTGATGCATCTTAGATGGCTGTTTGCAAGCTTTTAAGACCCTAGACACCACTCACCAAAGTAGGATGCAGAACATTTTCTTAATAAGCTTTGTTATGCCAATTGACCTAGATGTGCCCTGAAAGCATGCTCCGCAGACCCCTACCACTGCTACTCTGTCCCTCAAAGTGCTTGATTGTATTCAGGAAACTTCTTAGCCTTGGTTTAGTCCAGCTGCGCTGATGTCGCCTGTAGTGTATGCTGTCCTTCCCTTCACCTAAGATAACACTTGTCTACTATCTAGTTAGTAAATAACCCTCACCTCCCTCCCCACCCCTGTAACCATCAAAGAACGTTGTCTTCTGTGTTTAAAC